CTCCCTGTCCTCCATTTGCAAGCTGTCTGCTTTGGTTCCAGTCCAGACTCCACCACACAAAGCTTCTCCTCGCACACACGCAGTCTCCAGGCTCTTTATGTCTTCTGGAGTAACCTTCCTTTTCTCTGAAGCATTGTAGTTTCTATCCTGCAGAGAGAAGGAGAGGGATCCTACCAGAGCTTCTGGTAGATGTGATGGGATAAGAGACCCCCCCCCCACCTCCCTCTTTTTTTTTTTTTTGTTACTAAAAGTTTCATTCGTTTTTAATGTCTGGGATTGGAAAGACCTTCAAGTCTGGGGGCTTTCTACTGCTGCTTTTTGTGTGTGTGTGTGTGTGTGTGTGTCTCATGAAGCTGCTTGCATGTCTAAGAGGAAGTGACTAGTTTGGCAGAGAGCTGTGATCTGAGTCAGGTAAGCCATGTCATGTTCAGTAGCTCCACCAGAAAATGGAGGAGAGAGAGAGCAAGCTTCCAGTAGACAAAGCTGAGATAGGAAGTGCTCAGAACATTATGGATGCCTCTCTATTTTTTGTGTGTGAAGCTTTGCTGGCAATGGCTGGCTTGCTCATGGTATTTTTTTCCCCCCAAAGGTTTCTAGAGCTTTACACTGTGCAAGATTGTTGATGGCTCTCCATTCTCTTAGGAAATGGAGGAGTGGAGGAAATTTCTTAGATCCTTTTCCACGTAGAAGAGCATGTCCTAAGGGGTTTCTTTCTCCAATTTTCATGTTGAGGTCAATGCTTTAGACTTTTCTCCCTCTGAGTAACCTTCATAGGAATTAAGGTGTTGATGAGTTGACCAGATGCATCATTTTTCTTTCATATTTTGAGGCAAGTTTCCATAGCTGGAGGCTGCTCGGGTTCTTCTGCAGAACACCATGAAACATCAGCCTCGAAGGTGATCCTGGTAGCCTTATTTTTAGGGTATTTTCTCTTGTGTTGCTCCAGAATGTTCCTTTTGGACGCATTTTAAATTGCAGTGGAACATTTTCCCCAGCTAACTTGGTTGCATACTGGAAAGCTTTTAGAGGTGCCCTGGGGCTGGCTGCTAATAGAAGGTTCTTAAGATACCATAAATGATAAGGGTTTTCTCCCCTCACATTTTTAACCCTCGAAATATTTTTCATGTTCTTCAGTGACCCAGACTATTTATTTCTGAAACTTTTAATGTCATTATGGAAACCTAAGAACTTTAAAGTATGATGGCAGCTGAACAGAAGGCTTTTCTCCCCCCTGCTGCCTTTTTATTTGGAAGAGTTTAGGGAAGTCTCAAAGCCAGGAGACAGGAGTACCCATCACGCTTTGCTAATCTGTTGTTACAAGTATATGCTTTCTCAAATTATAACCCAAAATGAAGTGCTGCAATGCTTTAGGATTCCAAAAGGACCATTACCATACTGGTTGAAGAATGGGTCAGCAGAGAGGTGTAAGCCATGTGCTTTCATATATGGTGTTTAAAATATCTGGGAGAACTCAAGAAAGGAAGTATGGTGTATGAAATATCTGAGTGAAATGAGTCTTAGGATACCAAGTGAATGGATGTTAGCCATTAGCAGCTAACACAAGTGTGCCTGTGCAAAGGTAGAAAGACTTGTAAGATGGTGGTTGGAGTAGAACTTGATGATTCCAGCTGCCACAAGATTAAAAGCAACATACTTGTTCTATTTTCATTTCTGGGGAAAAAAAAGTGTGTGTGTGTCTGTATATCTGCATGTGTGTGTATATAACACTGAACAGTCAAACCCTTGAATGCACACTGTTCAAGGGGTTGTGTGGTTCTAGAATGGTGGCTGCAAATTGGTCTTATTCAGTTGCTTGAAATATCATGATCAGCTTTGAAACAACACATGTGGGATGGACCTTGGCACTTTTAACTTTAGATATATTCAAGCTTACACAGCCACTGCATGAAAGAGAAGGAGTCTTCATCTACTATCTGATCAAAGGTGATCAATGTTTCATTTTGTCACCCTCCATATAAGCCTGATTTGGTGACTCAAGTTAATGAAAAGGCCCTTTACTAAATTTTGCAGGCTTTGGATCAGGCCCTTGATGCATGTCTCTTCCCCTTGATACTGATTTCAGACGTAGAAAATGGCCAAGAACACTGCAGGTTTCTAAATGAGAGAAACCACAGGGCTATATGACCGTCTCCTCTGTCTTCTCTGATCTTAACACGGAAGCACACAACCTACTCTATCTGAGCTATCAACTCAGTGCTAGCAGTATAATTTGGTCTATAATTCATTGCTATAGAAAATGACACATGCAAATGGACAGTTAGTGTGAGATTTAAAAAAACTGAGCATCTAAAGGGAAGGCCTCCCCTACATGTTACAGTGACGGACACTATAGAAAACCATAACTGTTACTATAGATGCACTATTCTGCATAATGTTCTTCATATTTGGATAAGTGTAGACTAGTTCTCACAAGTATGTTGGTTATTCAATGTGAGATTGAAATCCCTTGGGACAGGAGTAGTTTTGCTAATTAAGCTACTTTGGGTATCAGAGCAAGAATTGAAATTTATAGTAAATGGACTTCATAAGTGTCACTTCTGATGAAAAATGATAGAAGAATGATCTCTTTCTCATGAAGTACTGTTTATTCACAGGTATTTATTGAAGTTGATACTTGGTTCATTGGTTTAAACAATTAATTCAGCTCGTTGTTGGGTGTTGTCATTAAACTTGTAGCATACTATTGAAGGATGTGCAACTTGAAAGGCACCACTGAAACTGATAGAGAAAAGAGACCCCAAATAGCAAAACAGCAGCTATTAATTATGTTGTGCATATACTGGGTTGAGAATATGTACAATCTGGTGTGGCTGTGTAATCTTATGGTTTATGTGGAAATAAGCAAAAGTAAAAGGCTTTTTTGTTTTGTAACTGATTTACAGCAATGAAGTTAAACAATGAAATGGCTACTGTATTGGTTTGACTTAAAGCAAGACTGGTGTTTGCAAGCCATCAACCCATTGTGAGCGAGAACTGATGGGTATTGGAAGAGAATCATGCTCTACAAAGATGCTTGGACATCTGGCAGATGCTGGGCCCTAAGGAATGGACAGTTTAATTTTAGTGTTAGAAAGGAAATGGGAAGTACTAAAATCTTATAATAGTACATGCTGCAGTTTGAGGAAGGTTACTCCAAAAACACAAGCATACTTCTTGAAATTCTGAGCTCTCAGAAAGAATAGTGAGCTAATAGCTGTGTGGGTTTTTTTGGATTATTTACAAACAACGCGTAGTGTTACAGTATGAATTAAGATTGCTCTAGTCTGCTGTAACAGTTGCTCTGCATGTTGTTGCAGATAGTTTCTCAAATTAAGCTAAAGAGCACTCCTTTGTAGTAAGAAGCTGTGGAAAAAGGACTTAGATCTGTGAAATTGGTGAATAGCTATGTAATATTCATTAACCAGTTTTGTCCAATTCTAAAACCATGACTAACCAAACCCAGGGAGGAAAAATGCAGGTAACAAAGTTGTTGAAGAAATGCTAAAATGTTGCAAAGAGAAAATTGAGGGGAGAGACTGGTTGTGGGAGGAGACCCTTTTTGGCATATCAAGGAAAAGTCTACAGAGCAGGTGTTAGTTGTATCACTTGTGTCTCTTTTGCTTGTTTGTTCTTCTGGACTTTGCTTTGTAGTTCTGTTACCTCACTGTATCTGCAGGCTTGCAGTGGTCTCCTGCTCGGATTGAAAAAATACAAGTTATAAACCTGTTCCAAACTGTCTTTTCCCGCCACTGTAGCAGGGTTGGACTGTTGTAGCTGTGATGATCCAGAAAATATGCAAGACTCAAGGGTGGTTTTTTTTTTTTGGTGATCTCATCTACTGGATTAACCAACATAATCATTTTAAGTTTGTCATTGATCAACTACTTTCACTATTAATCAAACTTCTCATCGGTGAGTTTCCCCCAGAACATTTGACTGTGTCCATCTAGACACATTTTTTTTTCCAGATGCTTGTCTCTGTGTTGAACTGCAGAAACCATGAAGTTGCTAAATGATAGCCAGGGTGTCTTTTAGAAATCTCTCAGAATAGCAAAACTTAGTATGAACCCATATAACTTGAACAGCAGTCTTGAATGTGTTAATTAAAGAATATGGGAAGGCAAGTCCAATTTACTGTTCAAAGAGTGAAAGTAGGTTTGAAGAAAAAGCAGGGTGAGATAGGAGTTAAGCATGCTTAAATATTCTTTTTTTTTTTTTTTTTTTGAGAGAGAGGGGGAACACAATTCCCTTAACCTAAAAGGGGGTTTGAGAAGGTGGCGATGCAAGTCTTCTGCTGCTGGCAGAGACACAGTTAACACTGTAAACGGTTGAACTTCAGCATGGCACTTCTCCAAATGAGTTGACTGTTGAAAATAAAATGTTCCAGAAGAACTGGGAGAACAGGAAAGAAGTTAAAATAGCATGGTTTGTATGCCAGTGCTGAAAGAAGAAAAGGTGGGGGGGGAGGAAGAGAGATAGCTCAACTTATGATAATTATCTTGTTGGTTATAGTGAAAAGGGTTGAATAGAAGTTTCCAAATGAGGAGACTTGATTTATATAAATTCAGATTTCATTTTTGTCCTGTATTTTTTGGAAACGCTCTGTCTACTTGGCTGTGTTTGAGAGGTTGAACACATGTGCAAATAAAAAATAAATGAAATTATTTTTATTGTTTTGGTGTTTATTTTTTAAGACAGTTCCACAATATTTAGAATTTACCATTTATCTCAGACTTTTATAAAGCTATCCTAGAAGTTGCAGTATGAACCCAACATTGGAGGTGTTTTGAGATATGGTAAGAATAGCTCTTCATTTCTGAGAATCAGTACTTAAATGTACACAGGCTTCTTGGCATTTTTTTATTTTTACTGTATTCTGTCTTCAACAAGAATAGTTTCATTGGCCAAATTGCTTTGTTCAGCTTGAGACATTTTCTAATTATTGCAATATCATCACTTCTTGCCTAATTACTAATTGAAGAAACATTTCTTAAGCTGTATTTAGAAAGAACTCCGCCCACCCCTCAAATGAAAGGTCATGATGATTTGGTATTCATTTTCTAGACATCACCTGCTCTGTTTTTCACTGAACTGAATGTCAGGTCCAGATCCAGCAATCAAAATCTGTGCCTACTCACTTCCCTTTTTCCTTTTTGTCCTGAAAACCTCTGCAGTTTTGGGTGGCCTTCATGAATGCATGCGATGCAACCATGAAAAGATGAACACACAGGTGACTTCTGATGGAGTGGGAATTCATTAGGTATTGGGTGATGTCTGTTGATCTAAAGGTTTATTTTGTGAAGAGGGTGGAGATCCCTTGAGGAAGTTTCATAGTTAAGAAGCATTTCAGAAATTTTTTATGTGCTGAAAGACAGTACAAGCTAGAGATCTCAGAACACATATCCACTGTGCTTGAATTGCGGGTCAAGCACTATTTCTAAGAACATACACTTGATAAAGTCAGTGCAAGGAGCTGTAGGCACAGGAATGATGTTGTTAATGATTAGGAAGGACTTGGGGAGAGCTTATCTGGATAGCAGTCACTACAGGGCCAGTGTAAGACCATATACTTCTAGATGCACAGGATTTACAAGACTCCTCCCTTATGGTGAAAGTAGTTAATTTTAAGAATCCAGTTGTTGCTGTTTAGATCTTCCATGGTGAAGAAGATAAAACAGTATTCTTAGGTTTTTGTTGAAATCTGTAAGACTGTTTCAGGATCTTGTGGGTGGAAAATGTATAGATCTTTATCCATCATCTGTTGCGGTTCTTTGTATGCAAATAATAACTTATTAATTGCTAAGCTAAAGAATGAGTGGCAGCACAGTATGGACTGTTAGAACAGCTTACAGATAAAACTTAGTATTTCCATCTGAAGATCAAGAAAAGATGTTGAGGCATTGCATTGCTCTTGCTAATTGAAAAGAAAAAAAAAAAAAAGCTTTGGAATGGACCTGGGAATTAGAACCCCAGCTGTTGTCATGGATGAAGAAGTCAGGCCTTCAAGTGATGCAGGGATTAAAATGTCAGGAAAAGGAAACTACAGCATCAGCACAAGTAGAAAATAGGCAGGGCTATTTAGCAAACAGAAAAGTCACCCAAGACATGACATAACTATGTGGAGAGGAATCTTGTTGGATAGTTATTGCATGAGGTGGAAAGGTAGTAGAATGGTTGGCAAGCAAAAACAAAGCAGAAATTGCAAAAAATGACTCTGTATGGTGGTTGAGACTGTAGTTTGTTCATGAATGTATTTTTCAATAAATTCTTCTCTCATAACAACAATGGAATTTTGTGACATGCATGGGCAATAAGAGTATCCATGATCACTGCTCATGCTGAATGAATAAATTCCCTACCCACTGATAGCTCCCAGGGCCTTGCATGGGAAAAGAGGGTAAGTGCATCTCACCTCCCTAATGTTGTAAATGGAGAATGAATGGGACACAACTAGGAAATAAAATGAGCTGGACATTAACTGAAGGACTAACAGGTCAAAAATAGAGTGATTATTTGTTACTGTGGAGGTCACACATCCTTTCATTTCAATATCCGGTTATTTTCTAAGGGTAGAAGGAGGTGGCAGGGGGAGACAAAATTCTATATTTGTACCTGAACATATTTTAATTATTTGATGAATAAGGCAAACAAAGGGGGTGGGGCGGGTGAGGGGACAGGGGGGATACAAGGCTTTATGTGGTTGGAGCTTCAGGTCAAGTGTTTATGCCACTTAACATCCAGGACAGTATTTACCTTTTTAGTGCCTTGAAAGTTGGTTTACTGAAGACTTTAGCTGGGAAAGGGATCATTAAGACAGAGCTCAACTAAAAGCAAAGTAAATACTTTTTCCTTTTAGCCTCCTTTCTCCTGTTGTTAACATTGACAATTCAAAGAACTCCATATTTCTTTTGCTGGGTTAAGCAAAACTTCTAGAATGACTAGGG